CCTTACCCTCCTGCTTTCCTGGGTCCTTTCATCTCCTTCCTCCTCCCTTAAAAAAACAGCAAAACCAAATTCAGTGTTTTTTCCTTAGCCCTGGTGCATAAAATGTGATTGTATTCATTGTTTTAGTGGAGACCTAAGAGTGTTACAAGAGCTGGTGTTACATGGTGCTGGTGGCAGCACAGGTAAACAGCTAATCCAGGTACTGTAAAAAAGTAGACTCTGCTGTTTTCTGAGGTAATCTGATTCCTGTAAGAAATCGGTAATGGTTGTGCAGAGCCCTGAGGAAAGCAATTTGAAGGTGCCCTGGGAGACTTTTGCAGCTATCAGAATTTTACCTCTGTGGATGAGAATGGAGAGCTGTAACGTCTTCATTTTTTTCATGTTTCCATCTTCTCGTTTCTTCTTGCCAATTTTATTCTCTTAGAGAGAAGAAAACCAGAGTAGGTTGCATTCATGTGAGACAGCAGCACTAAGGATAATTTACTGATAGATGAATTCTTGTTAAATTCCCCATCATGATGAAGTTAATAAACGGTAAAAAGAGAGGAATGAGGAGAGTTGGAAATGTCCTTCTCATATTATAGCTGCATGCTCATGCTGATTTTCCGATCATGTTGCAGAGGCACAGTATGGATTCACGACAAAATTGTGTTGTTGTAACAGACAGCAGTAAACACAAACATATTTATAGATTTCGTGTTACTTATTCATTTGAAGAACTGTTGTCTTCCATGTTTTCCAATATACATATTGTCTGCTTCATACTATGAATAGAAGGAGTCATGTGAAATTAAAGTGCATGGAGGTTGATGACAAGCTTGACAACCAGCTCAATGCCTATTCTCCCTTTCCACTAACTATTTCCTGTTTTTATTGCATGTTGCCTAGACTGTAAGCACATTGGGTGTTACGTAATGAGGAAGGGCAGCGAAACAATAATTGGAATAGCTGGTTTGCATAATCTGCTCTTCCCTCTTCTTTCTCAAGGAAAACACATAATCTGATAGTCTGCATTACAACATGATAGGAATCTAAACAGCCTTAACGCAACCTCTGAGATGCAGAGGGCAGATTTCAGCCAACTGATCCTCCTTCCCGTCTCTTCCGCTTTCCAGTCAACCCTTTCTTCCAGAGCAAACCGTTACAACTTTGTCATGGCACATAGACTACTTTGCTGTGAGGTTTTCTGTTTGCATACAAAATCCCAGTGAAATCTGAAAAAGATCATTTGTTTCACATTGGTCAAGCTGGTTGCCAATAGCTGCTAGTTCGTGAGGGAGCTTGAACACATGAAGCTAGAACACCGCCATATTGTTTACTGTGCAGACTTCAGGAATGGTCTCATTTTGTACTTCTGTGTTAATTCCTCTCCTTTTCTGTGTTAGAGTAATACTTGGTGTTAAACATAATAAAATTAATTTGAAAACAATTAGCTTCCTCAAAAAAGTCTATGTATTAAAATAAGGAAAAATCGCAGTCTTTGTTTTGCTTCCACTTCAGTAACTAAATGGATTCGTAAGAAGTAAATATTTTAAAATTACACCCAAAGTACTTTGCAGTGTTTATGCATTCTTTCATAGGCAGTTATTGGGATCTTCTTGTTTTAGAATGTAATTTCTCTCTTGTCTGTGTATGTTTTCAGTTGAGAGCTGCTTAAAACATTTCATCTTAAGTCTGATTTGGTAACATATTGAGTTGAGCCTAATCCTTGGGAAAACATTTATATTTCGGTGTTAGGCAATAGTTGTTAATGTTTATTCATGAAGGGTACATTCCTCAAGTAACCTATTTTGGGCAAAAATTAAGATGTGTTAGCAAAGTTTTGTGAGCAGATGTGGCAATCCCAACTCATCCTTTTTAGAATCTTTCAACTAATTTTATAAACATGACTGTTCTGTTTAAGGAGTAGTTTGCTCTTTCCTTATTTGTCTTTTTCTACCTGTTTCAGCTTGGAGAAAACAAGAGTTGGAACGGCCAGAATGTTGGGTTTCCTGAGCCAACAAGTAACAGTATGTATTGCTTCCTAAATTTATATATTTACTTACTTCTCTTTGTCTCTGTAGGATTTGGATAATTCAAGACAATTGAAATGCTTTTTGTAAATATTTTAGGGATATTATTGCAATTAGGTGAATTAACTCTGGAGTGTCCTCTGTGTGAGTATAGGTATGAAGGAGTGCAAGAACAAGGAGATTTTTATTTACTCATTGAACCATTGAATCTTTCAGGTTGTAAGGGATTTTAGGTCATCTAAACTGCCTGCTCAAAGCAGGGTCAGTACAGAGTTCAGACAAGGTTGCTTATGTCTTTTTTTCCAGTTCTCCAAGGACAGAGATTCCATAGCTTCTCTGGGCAGCCTGTTCCAATGCTTAGTTACCTTCACATTGAATTTTTTTCTTTTTATCCCAGTCAAAACATCTCCTGTTTGTTTATGACTCTCTTGACCTGTTCTTCTGCTACATGACTCAGTAATGTGCAAGGCTTCATCTTTTTGGCAACCTCTTCTTAGGTATTGGAAGGCTGCTATTAGGTACCTCATAGCCTATCACTTTCCTCTAAGCCTGATCATCCAAACAAATTTTCATCATCTAGTAATTCATCTACCTAGACTCCAACATCACAGTTTGGATGCAAGGATGCTGTGGGAGACATGATGTCAAAAGCCTTGCTAAAGCTAAATAACATCCATGATTTTCCTTTCATTCATAAATCCAGTCATTTTATCATAAAAAGCAATCAGGTTGTTGAAGCTATTTTTTTACCTGGGTAAATTCATGCTGATTGTTCCCAATGGCTTTTTTTCTCCTGTGTACGCCCACAAATGGCTGCAAGGGGACTTACTGTATGATTTTCCCAGGGACTAAAGTCATGCCGACTAGCCTGCCTTTTTTGATGATGATGCCTTTCTCCAGGCATTGGAGACCTCCCCTGATCTTCATGACTTTTTGAAGATAATAGAAAATGCCTCACAAGACAGAAGCAGGTTGAGTCAGCATGCTAAGATATATCCCATTAGGTCCCATGGACTTGTATAGGCTGAAAATTTCTCAAGAGATCCCTGACACTGATTAGGTTCTGCTACTGTTAGTTTCTCTCTTCCTTGAGCTGTGTCTGTAGACATAAAGGCCTGAGAGACCTTGTTGGTGGAGACCGACTTCAGTTTCACTGCAACAGATAATGAATAAGACAGACCTTTGTGATTTTATAACTAGTTTTTTGCTGTTTAGAGTGGTAAAGATAATATAAATAGTACTTCACTTTTCCATGAACCAAACACTTGAGCTACCTTCTATTTTTTGCCTATATACGTCTGAAGGACATGGTCCTAAAAGCAGGTTTTAAGGAGTTCAGTAGTGTTCCAGTATATATGTGGTCTTCCCAGTCACTAGACCTGGTGAATAACTTGTGCTTCAACTCACACAAAAGTTTGCTAGTATTTAAAGTGATCTTGGATTCAGGACATGCCGTTGTGTTTCCCTGAAAGAGAGGGCTCTACAGGATCTAAGACTTCTTATTAATTGCTTCCTTCCAGCACTATCATCAATCCTCATCAATACTTCTAGGTGACTTCTGTTTGCATTGTCAAAATCTCTATGGACGTGGCCTGTGAAACATCTTCAAATGTTAATGTCTTTAAACGTTAACATATTGGAGTTCGGGACAGAAGAATAAGACCTCTAGCTTTTCTCCTATCCTTGCCGTGTCTTGTAGCAAAGATATTTATAGATGACATCACAGCCATCTACTACAACAACAAGAAAAAACAATCCTTTTCCCAGGCTTCATTTGACTAGAAAATTTTGGCAGTTACACATGTAAATCTGAATCTAGGAGGAGAACACTCAACAGGAGACAAGATCAACAAAAATTATATTTCAAACCTGTGCTGACCAAAGAACTTATTTTTTCACAGATTAGCCTGCTCACAGGCCTTTTTTCATCCACTGCAGGCCATGGTACAGAAACAGATTTTCATTCTGGGATGCTTTTCTAATGTATGACAGACATGTCTAGATGCCTTCATTTCCGTTCTTCTGATCTACAAGTAAATTGGAAATCAAAGGGCATGTAGCCATCATGTCAGTAGACATAGTGCATTTATTTCTGATGGTGCTGTTCAGAGACCACGGTGCTTAATCCCTTAACTCCTTTTTTGAGGGTTCCAATCTAGAGACAATGTTAATAATAATCAGCTGATTAAAGTGTATATTTTTTTTATTTCAGAAGGACTCTACTATCCTTTTGCTAAATAGGAAGGGTTTGAACCCAAAATGTTACCAACAGGCATGTATTTTTTTAACTCTTTTTTTTTTTACTCTTCACCTCATAAAGAACCTTTTTCTTCTAGGGTATTTTCTTCAAAACTTACAGCTTAACTGTGATTTTCAGATAAAGGCATAAGAGGGGAATGAATATGTTACAGTTATGTAGAGGACAGCCCAGTCTTTCTTCACTTTACAGTCTCATCCAGGATTCATGGAAGACCTAGAAATGCATTTTTCTTCTCTAAATGTGTTAATGTGATGTCACCCCTGGCTGAGTGAATTGCTAATAAGTCATCTTTTTGAGTTTCTCATTGAAACCTCTCTTGGTGTTTCTAAACTAAAATGGCTTTTCTGAAAGAATTATGAATCTGCTGTATCGAATTGTACTCAAGTATATTTTTATATAGAAAAAACACTGTAGTAGCTTCTATACTGTAGCTCTTTCAACATGTAAGTATCATACTATTTATCTGTAATGTATAGGAAGGAACCACAGATTCCCAGATAATCTATTCTATGATTCTATGTTTTTACGTAACCAGTTAAGTTCAGTTGATACCTTCCTACTGAATCGCTCTATGAAGAGGCCTGTTTTTTCAGGATGTGACTGAGATCAGGGTATTGTAACATTTGGAGATGATCTATGCAGTATCACTTGATATTTCTCATCAGTTTTCCATAGACATGATGACTTGTTGAAATGCTGTGCTAATATTTAGTAGGGGGATAATCTGCCCTACTAAAGTACATCTTTACCTATGTACATCTTCACCTATGGGAACTTTGCCTGCTCTTCCTCTGGTAGAATAGCATGTACTAGTTTCCCGCACAGGGAATGCATAAAAAACCCTGAAGAAGAACTAATATTATTAAGAGTTTTCGCTGCACACACCCACTGATCTTCCCCTAAGCCTCAGAGTCCGAGATAACTTCAGAGCTTTGTAGTCAAGGAGAACTGAGGAAATTTGAAGTATTTTCTCCTTTTGAATGAAAAAAGAGATCACTTCCATGCATGATCTTTCATGTACCTGTGAAGTACAGGGTTTTTTTTAAGGCACTCTCAAACAAATTCCACTGTTTGAGATCAAAAATGTCACATCCTTTCAGGTATGAATAGGCTAGTTTATATTCAAGAACAACAGTTGTTGGTAGGTACTCTTGCCGTGTCAGCATTGTAGTAGGAAGTTTTAAAGAGAGCAAATGGAGCACCTTCCTCCCTTCTGTATCCTTCCTTGTAAGAGAAATGTACGGTTGCATTTGTTGTGACCCCAAAACCTAAGTTTCAGTGGTCTTGAAAATATGAAGCTCTGGGATTGCTACATCTACCATTTGGCAGCTCTTATTCAGATTTCCAGTAATTTTATTCCAGGAAAACAATCGTGTCCTGTTAGAACAACGTACTGTGCATCAGTTTCCTTTTCCAGGCAGATATTCTTTCTTTGTGTGCATAAAGCACTATGTCTTCATCTGAAACTGTGTGAAATAAAACTGTAGTAATAAAGTGAAGTTGTATGCTTTAGTACAAAAAAAAACCCAACAAAATCCTAACAGTTACATATCTTAGTACCGTTGAAGGACAGATTTCTTTGTACTCTTATTATGTAGTTCTTTTTTGCTGGGAAATACTCGTCAGTCTGTATCCTCCTATGTACTCGCTCAATGCATTTTTAGTATTCTCTGTTAAATATCCTTGAAAATGACCTTCTCCTGTTCCCCTCTATCATGTACTTTTGCAGCCATCCTTGCAGCAAACTTCACTTCTGTTCCTTCTACTCACTGGCAAAGCTTCTTCCCACAGGTTTGCTTCTTTACCTTTCCTCTTCATTTCACAGTCTTAAAGATGAAACAAGAAGCTATTAGTTTCTTGGTTTGGGATATCTTAGAAATTTTTCGCACATGAAATAACAAGAATATTGAGTGAGTATTTTCCCTAATGCTTCTGGAAGAGACACTGAAACACTGTGGGCAGACCACAAGCATTTGCAGCCCATACAGGAGATGTTTACTGTCAACAGAAACATGTTTCAAAGCATGAAACAAATAAACAATCCTAATGCAAAGTGCATTTTTTTGGGAACGTATTTGGGTTTTATATTCCTGGATGGGGTAATCACAAACATCATACAGTATATGTTCTAGGAGAAGCTGTAGATGAGCTATGAAAAACAAAATACGTAAAAATAAAAGAAAAAAGTAACAATATTTTTATATATTATGATTCTAACAAGGAAACAATGACCCTAACAGTTTTTGTATGCTCCCCACCCTCAATTTTCCATAGTATAGTTTTCCTTTATCTATTTCTGCCAATTTGCGGAATCACAAAGTATTGAAAAACTACTAATAAAAAAAGTTACATTCAGAACAATCCTACCTCTCTGTAAAGGACAGGCTCTTTGTTTTTCTTGCCGAACATTTTATTACTAAGGATTCATGCATGACTTTACAGTCTTTGTTCTTCAGAGTACATCTGCTCCTGCTGTTTGTTCACCACCTGAAATCATAATCATTTGTTTGTGACATCACAATTAGTTACTGTGAAGATGATTAGATTGTCACCAACAGATGATTATGATTTCAGATGGTAAATGAGCAGCAGGAGCAGATGATCTCCTAAGGAACAAAGATACTTGATCTCATGCAATTGTTCTCAGTAAAAAAAAAAAAAAAAAGCAATGAGAAAAAAGCAAATAGTCAGAAGACTTTCTTAAAATCTGTGATGAGGAAATTTAAGTATTTTTCCA